TTCTCACCAGATTGCTTTTGTACGCTTCTAACAATATAATGAGCTGCCACTGAAATAATTTTAACAGCTGTCAGACAAGTGACTTAGAAATGACAGCAGTCTGGTTGCAGTTATTTTATCTCACCCTGTATGTAAAATAAATTGTTGCTAGTTATTCCGCTTATAAGTCAAAAACGGCTGGACAGATTTTGACAATTTCCACCAACTAAGAATGGCATTTTGGCAAATAAGAATAAAATTTAGAAAAAATCGCCTAAAAATATGTCAATACAAAAAATTTTTCAAATAGACAAAAAAATTAAAAATCTCCTGATTTTGCAGTCGATCGGTCACAATTAAAACCAATCGACACTGTATTTGCCATGAGAAGATAGTTAAGAACAGGGCAGAAGTCTAGCATGACCACTGGATTACATTTAGCTGGTAAAATTGACCACAACTTTCGTGTGAAATTGTTTTCAATACCTATCAGCACGACAGAGAGCGTAAATATGGGGTAAATGCAACCGGTCAAAAACCAAAGGTAACATTTGTGCAGGGTTGTGTGGTATTATTCACAAAACGAAACCTAAATAAATGGATTTGGACCTAAGGGTCTTCCAACATATTGTAGGGTACCACATGATCGGCCCCGCACGGTTATAGCCTTTGCTCATTTGTTTGTCATGTAATTCCTTTGTACGCCAGAATATTTAATATAAAAAATGGTCATAAAAATCAAAATATCAAAAATGTTCGTCATCAAATTTTACTATTTCTTTTTCAAATCAAGAAAATTTTTGCAACAATTCAATTTTTTATATTTAAAATTGTAGGGTATTTTTCTGTTGATCCCTCTTATAATTTTTATTGCATTCGTTTAGCAAAAACTTTTCAACCCTACAATAGAATTTCGACACGTTTTCTATTGAATCAAATTGCAAGTTTAACACATATCTGTTGGATGTTTTCCTCTAATTGCAACCACCGCTGCCACTGTCTGGTGGGGGTCATTTTAATAATGTGCGAAACTTTGGCGTTTTTCGAATAAAGTTCTCATGCTGCAGTGAATAGTCTGTTTAAAGTTATGTTTTAGTATTGTGTGTAATTATAAATTAGTGGATGGGTGAGAACATATTCGGCACACACTCTTCGGAGTAAGCAATGCCTGTTACCTTAAAAGTTCACGGAAAATTTCCAGATAATCATAACTCCGTGAATATCAAGTATATGTCAAACTCCATGTGGACCCTTTTAAAAGAGGTGACAATTTTGAATATTCACAGCCAGTAAAAAGTATGAAATTCATTTCCGATTTTCCTAAGCAATTCCAATATTTTTACCAATATTAGAAGAATAATGGAATCTGTAAATTTATTCTCCGGATTTTTTTTTTTGTTTTTTTTTTTTGAAAAAGAAACCCTCATAAACTTTGAACATGAAAATATTTTTATCGAAGATATCTCCAGCCTAGAGTCATGATTATTCACACTGTTTAACCTTTATAAGGAAGGTTCTGAAGCAGTTGGCCAATATGTCCAATTTGTACTGGCACCTTATCGTCTACTTCCTATACATAATATGAAATATATGTCAATTTTGGGAAAAGTGTGGAAATATGCGTGAGGTATCAGGAATAGAGGATCGAAATATTCCACTTCATCTGATACAGATAAAAATTTAGGTATCTGCAAAATTTAAAGGAAATCGAACATTTTTATCAAATTTTATTCGAAATCATAAATTCTGATAAATTACATATTCATATCAGATTTCTGGTTAAGAAAAAAATATTTAGATACAGAAAGTTGTAAAGAATCGCCGACTTGTTTCGCATGTTATGACAGATAAAAGAATTGAAAAGTGTGACCCTTTGTGGGTGTGGTACTAGAAGGTGTTCGCAGATATATATCATCTTCACAACATATTTTACGTTAACAAAAATATTTGGGTGTATGAAATTTTAAGAAAGTTGGATTCTTATTTCGCTTTCTTTGCACGTTTTGTTCTTCTTGAATCCTATGTGGGGAGGTACTAGAAAAAATGGTCCGATTTCTACCATCTATATAACAAATCTTGTGTTGATGGAAATATTGAGATGTCCCAAGTCTGAATGGAATCGGATGTTAATTGCGCGTTTTATGAGCTTCATTCAAATTAAAAATTTATGCCCTTTGTGAAGGAGGTACCAAAAGGAGTAGACCGATATATCCCATCTTCATAGCAGATCTTGTGTAAGTAGAAATAATGGGATGTGTGAAATATGAAGAGAATTGGATGCTTATTTCGAATTTTATGATCGTTTTGTTTATTTAAAACTTGGACCATTTGTGTGGAAGGGGTACCAGAACAAATGGTCCAATCACAACCATCTTTATAAAATACCTTGTGTTGATAGAAGTATTGAGCTCTACCAAGTCTACATGGAAACGGATGTTAATTTCGCGTTTTATGAGCTTCAAAATTTTGACCCTTTGTGGGGGATGTACCAAAGGGAGTGGATCGATATATTCCATCTTCACAGCAGATCTTTTATTTGTAGAAATAATAGGATGCGTTAAATATGAAGAGAATCGGATACTTATTTCGGATTTTGTGATCGTTTTAGTTATTCAAAACTTTGACCCTTTGTTTGGGAGGTACCAGAAGCTATGGTCCGATCTGTACCATCTTTATAACAGATCCTGGATCTAGGGTCTAAAACCCTAATTTCGATTAGGCACGTTTTGGCCGTATCAAATGATATGCAGGGTGAGATGAAAAAACTACAACCAACTTCAGACTGCTGTCATTTCTAAGCCACTCGTCCGGCAGCTGTTTAAATTATTCCAGTGTCAGCTTATTATATTGATTACAAGCATACAAAAGCATTTTGGTGAGAATTTTCCAGAAAAAAAGTTATTCGTGATGGAATTCTAGCGTGATAGTGTGATTTCTTTATATTTGGCTGGAAAACTACAAGTGGCTATCGTTAGAGTACTCCAACATTTAAATGTGAATAAATCTTTTGTGTCTCGTACCATCGCTCGTTACCGTGATACTGGTAGCGTAGCCCAAAGTCAAGGAAGTGGGCAGAAGGAAACAGAAACATCATCAGAAATGGTTCGAAAAGTAAAGAAGCGACTTGATCGAAACCCGCGTCGCAAGTAGCCAAAAATGGCTCGTGAGCTGAAAATATCACAATATTCCATTTCGAAATGGAAATTCTAAAAAGTGCAAGAACTTCGACCGCAACAGAAAGCAAATAGACTCAAAAGAGCTAAAGAGTTACTTCGTTTGACCGAAAATGTTGAACTGCCGAATTTGGTTTTCTCCGATTGGAAAACATTCGTTGTTCAGCAGTTTGTAAACAAACAAAATGATCGTGTTTACCTGCCAAAGAGGTCAGGTGAAAATGTGTACCTTCGTTTGGCCCCCAGAACTCAGGCGCCGGCCATGGTGATGGTGTGGGCCGCCATATAAATGCCGAATATTTTCGCGAAAATATTCTGGAAGGTGTATTAGAGCCTTGGGCACGCAAACATTTTGGGTGCAGACCTTGGACATTCCAACAGGACTCAGCACTATCGCAATCAGCACGCGCGACCCAAGAATGGTTACAAAATGAGGTTCTCGCTTCATTTCCAGCGCACAATGGCCACCAAAATCTCCAAATACCAATCCGTTGAACTATTGTATCTGGTGTATTTTGGAAAGCAAGGTTGGCACTAAAAAATACCAAAGCGTCGATCAGCTCAAGCATGCGCTTCGCCGGGAATGGACCAAAATACCGCAGAGCAAAATTCGGGCAGCGTTTGACGGTTTCATTTGCCGTTTCAAGGCCATAATTCGTGCCAAAGGTGACCAATTTGAACAAATTTAAACTTATTCTAAAATTAAATGCTATTTCTGACATTTTTTATTTTCATTCAATAAAATTTAAAAAAAAAAATTGTAAAAAGTATGCCGTTAAGCTTTGTTGCCGTTTTTTAAGCGTTTTGTTTTTGACACCTTTGAACCCTTTGTAGGGAAGTACCAGAAGGAGTGCGCCGATATATCCCATCTTCACAGCAGATCTTGTGTTAATAAAAAAAATACCATACCACCAAAAGAAATGGTTCGATCACTGATGGAAGTATTGAGCTCTACCAATTCTAAATGGAATCGGATGTATATTTATTTTGACCCCTTTTGGGGAGGTACCAGAAGAGATGAATCGATATATTCCACCTTACCCAGACCGTGGGTTAATAAAAATATTGTGATGTGTGTATTTTGAAAATAATCTGACTCTTACATCACATTTTATAAAAGTAAAATTTTTCAAAATTTTAACCCTTTGTGGGGGAGGTACTTGATGGAGTGGATCGATATTGTTCACTTTCTCGCATGACCAAGCACTGATGAAAATACTGTGATTTGCAAAGTTGGAGCAAAAGCGAGTGATCCTTCCTCTTTCTGAGCAGTAAAACATTTTCTTTAAAAATGTCAACCTTTTGTGGGGTAGGTACCTGAAGAAGTGAACCGATATTGCCCATCTCCGAACTCGATCTAAGTTTGATAATAATATTACGATGTACCAAGTTTGTACCAAATCGTATACTCCCTTCGAGAGTTATCGTGCGCACCGGCCTAAGAGACAGACAGATGGCCGGACATCACTAGATTGATTCCAAATTGTCCTGAAATGAATTTGGTCCAAAGAGACCTGGGGTCTAAAACCTTTGTTTCGATTGCGCATGTTTTGGCCTTATCAAATGATATATGTCCTCTGCAGCCATATGGCTGAGGGTATAAAAAATCGCAATTCATATAAAACCCTTGTGAAAGCGCTCCATAGCATTTTATAGGTATTTAACAGTTTATCTATGCCATACGAGGTCACTTTTTAATATTTAAAGCTTAACTCATGTAAAATCCCTAATTACTCAAAGTTGAAAGTCATTAACAAGAAATAGATATTTAATTTCAAAATTTATATAAATTCAAGACATCGTCACCCAAACATTCATAACAGACAACAAATTCGATGCAGCAAACAATTCTCATAATCAACTGCGAGATCTGTGTGAGAGAATAAAATAAAATTATCAAAATTCATTTGTTTACAAACGAAGAGAGAATCGCCACGAAACCGAATGCAAGCCCAGTTGATTGGTGACATTACTTCGTGCAAGATGTGTTCTATTGCGGCCCGAGAACATTTGAAATATGTGAGTACCTCGTACATAAATACATATGTATCTATCTGCATTCATGAGACAATCTATCTGTCGATACATCAGTTGGCCATTCTGTCATGTAATCCAAGATCGAGATAGATGCGGTTTATAGCGCCCAAATAAACATTGATAGTTTGATTGACCACCGGCAAACAATTGACTTGAAGAACAATTTATTGAAATCGATTAAAGTATTGGGTTGATTGTTTTTTTTTTCAAAATGTCTTGTGATTTATTCCGACTGTCATTCGCCAGTTGACATTTAATTAAAAGTTCATAGATTGGAAAAATTAATGGTTATTGAAAGGGGATATTTTTGGTTATATAAGACAATGTCGTTGCTTGTCTACGATTTCCGTTAGATGAAACTTGAGATGAGATTTGTTCTCTGTCTACCCTTTGTTGTTGCTGCATATTTATAATCGCAAATAAGAGCTTAAAATAATTTGCAAACAATAGAAATTATTATCAACTGGAATAAAACAAAAAAATATATATATTAAAAAAAGAGTAAATAAATATTGAATGTCATTTAATCTGACTCATTATTGGCTGTTTGTGTGTTTGGGTGTATAGAACTGAATTTCATTATGAGTCGAAATATTCAAAGCACTACTTTGGTGTATTATTTTTAAAGGCCATAACATCGTAATAACATCCTGAGCACAGTGTGCTGAAAAAATAGAATAATCAGAAATGATTCAAAAGACTGTTCAATTAGAAATTGGGAAAATAGTTTTTATTATACCCTCCACCATAGTATGGAGGGTATATTAAGTTTGTCATTCCATTTGTAACACCTCGAAATATACATTTTAGACCCCACAAAGTACATATATTCTTGATCAGCATAAAATTCTATGTCGATTTAGCGATGTCCGTCCGTCTATCCGTCTGTGGAAATCACTCTAGCTTCCGAACGAAATGAAGTAGGTTGATAAAATTTTACTCAAATGTGTACTATATCTGCAGGACTTTTGGTATTGAAAATGGGCCATGTAGGTTCACGTCTTCGTATAAGCCCCACATAACGGTACCCCCGATATTCGGTATTTTGATGATTTTAGCGACATTATTTACCGGAATTGTTTCAAATTTGGTATTTAAAGTTTGTTATAGATACTACAGCATACAACAGAAAATGGACCATGTAAGTCCACGTCTTCATATAGCCCCCATGTAAAGGTACCCCCCGATATTCGGTATTTTGATGATTTTAGCGACATTATTTACCGGAAGTGTTTCAAATTTCGTATTTGAAGTTCGTAACGAATACTTCAGCCTATGACAGAAAATTGTGTGTGCAGATCCCCGTTTTATGACCATCACGGTAACTCCCTATATTCGGTATTTTGATGATTTTTTTCTTTCAAGTTTCGCATTTGAATATTGTAATAGCTTGTGACAAAAGTCGTCGTATAGACTCTAATATACGGCTACATTAGGTATTTTCAAGCTATTAACAGAATTTTTGACGGATTTTATTTTTTTGAAAATTGTTAAATTTGTACCAAATGATGGAGGGTATTCAAAGTTCGGCCCGGCCCGGACTTACAGGTTATTTACGTGTTTTTGTATACCCTCCACTTTCCTATGGAGGGTACATTATCTTTGTCATTCCGTTTATAACTCATGTTATACCCAACAAAGTATATATAAACTCTTTTTCAGCGTAAAATTCTATGTATGTCTTCGTCAATCACTCTATTTTTCGAACGAATAAAGTTTGAAATTTTGCACACATGTGTATTTTGTCAGTAGGCAGGTTAGGTTCCAAAATGGTCCATGCTGCTCCACGTTTTCGAATAGCCCCCATATAACAGTGCCTCTGGATATTTGGTATTTTGACGATTTAGTTCACATTTTCAGACGGAATTATTTACAATTCAGCAGTTGGAGTTTGTAACGGGTTCCCCCTCCTGTGGTAGGATAAGTACGTGAACATAGTTTCACGTTTTCCTATAGTCCCTATGAAACGGTACGTTCTGACATTCCGTACTCAGATGATTTAACATGCATTTTTTAATGGGGTAATTAAAAATTTCGAAATTAAAGGTTCATAACGGGTTCTAAAACCTGTGGAAGATCATTGTTGAGATAGGTTCACGTTTCGGTACTTTCCAATAATTATTATTCTAATGATTTTAACTAAATTTTAAATCGATTAAAATTCGATAACTGGAGTTTTAATAGGTTCGGTCTCTTGTGACAAAAGACTACTGAAATAGGCTCATTATTTCTTACACTTTCACTCATGAGGCGGAACCTTCGAATATTTTATATTTTCTGGTGATTTTTTAGCAGATTTTTTCTTAAGGGCCTAGTCGTAGTCAGAACCTGACCCTTCATACCGACTCGAAAAAGTCCTGGCCCTTAAGGTAAGCTATATAAAGGCCCTCCATAGAGGCTGTTTCTTATTTAGCCTGTATGAAACCCCTGGACATCATCTAGCCGGTATATAGGCCAGAGCCTTTATCTGGCCTTCGAATATTTGGTATTTTGGTGATTTTAGCCACATTTTTAGCGGATTTTTTCTTAACTATCGAAACTAGCAATAGATAACAACCACCTTAGTAGGAAACCGGTACCAACGAATTTAAGGCATTTTTAAGGCTTTTTACCAACCAATTTCACTGGCAAAAATGCAAGTGGACTCAATACTCAATCCTGATTTTTTTGTTTTTAAACGTTTTCTTCACCTCATGTTGGAGGGTAGTGTAAGACCGGTAAGGTTTTTATACCCTACACCACATAGTGGTAAGGGTATTATGTCGTTGTGCATTTTTTTATAGCATGGAGAAGGAAGCGAGATAGACCCATAGTTACTTTTGAGGATCTTCATAGAATCACTTTCTGAATCGATTTATGCATTTCAGTCCGAATGTCTGTCCGTTTCATATTGCCCATATATTTATGTGAACAAAATGCAGATCGCATTAGTTATCCGATTCATATGAAATTTTCCAAAAAAAAATATTTGTGTGGCCCAAGGAAATTGGTGAGAATCGGTTCAAATTTAGATATAGCTACCATATATATATATATATCTTCAACCGATTTCAGGTCAATTGTGCACCAAAATGACCTCAATTTTGGCACATCCGACCAAATTCAGTCTATTAGCAAACACACACTATGTGTTTTGGATGTAATAACTTTGATTGGCCAAAAATTATGTAACACCCCTGAGTATTGGTTTCCCACATAGGAAAGTATATATGGATCATCCTATCTCGCCGAGCTGAGTCGATCTAGCTATGTATGTCTGTCCTTCCGTCTGTCCATGTTAATTTGTAATCACGCTACAGGTCGCAATTCTGGCCCGATCCTCCCGAAATTGAAAATGGAGGTAGGGTTAGGGTCAGAATAGAACCCTATTGTTTTTGGAGATGATTGCACGATATTTAGGGGTTGAAATGGACCAAAAACAGAAAATTTTCCTGATTTTGCAGTTGCTCTGTAGGCCACAATTATGAACAAAATGACGCGGACATTTGCATGGAGTTTGAGTTTAGGACTGGGCAGAAGCTTACCATTTGGGCGGCCATTGGCCAATATTTAGCGGGTAAAATAGAACCTAACTTTTATGTAAGAAAATAGAACAATTTCCGTTAAACCGCGAATATTTTTTAACGCCAGCCAAATCACAAATACATTAAAAGGTCACTCCTGACCATCAAAGCGATGCTGATAGTCAAGAAATCGGATATATGTAGGAAAATAGGAACAATATGTATGTAAAAGAAAGATATCTTATTTATTCTGCTTATAAGTCAAGAACCGCTTGGCTTATTGTCACAAATGTCCTCAATTCGGAATGGTCTCTGGCGAGAAAAGGATAAAATCTAAGAAAATCGCGAAAAAATATACCAATAAATGAGTGAATAATTGTTGTTCCATTTTTTAAATTTTTGTCATGCATGTCGCAATTATCATCCGATCCTCACGAAATTACATGAGGTTACGTTAGGGTCAGAATTAACGCCTATTGTTCTTAAAATGTACATTTAGGGGTTCAAATTGACTATTTTTTTTCTAAGTTGTAGTCGCTCTATAGGCCACAATTGAAAACTAATCGACACGGAATTTCGCATTAGAAGAGTGTTAAGGACAATGAAGAAGTCCAGCATTTTGGATGACTATTGGATTATATTTAACTATAAAACGGACCACAACTTTTGTGTGAAATTGTTTTGAATATAACACGACGGAGTACATGAATAGGGTAAGGCAGGTTAACATCTTGGAAGGGCTCTTTGACTCTATTTCAAAAACGAAACTTTACAAAATGGATTTGAATATAAGGAGACTGTGAACATATTGTAGTGTATCACATGGTCGGCCCCGCACGACTATAGCCTTTGCTTACTTGTTTTTTTTTTTTTTTTTGTTACATTGGGATGTAAAATTTCAAAACGCCGAAACACGTACTTTCCCCTTTCAGCTCTAATCTGCTTATGAACATGTTTGCGATTTTTCTCAAAATTATTATGCCTCTTTAATTCTACCAACCAGAGATCTAATGTAAATATGGTATGGTCCTTTCCTTTCCCTACAAACGGCAAAAATTTTGTATTTCGCACCAAAGTCTTCGATTTGTATTTTTTTATAGAAAATAATTAACTTTTGTTGGGGAGGTACTAAAAGGAGTAAGCTCGAGATAGTTATTATGTGTCCAGAGAGACAGATAGACATTTTTGCCGTATCAAATGATATATGCCTTCTGTAGGCATACGACTGAAAGTATAGTTAAAGTTTCTTGCTTTACATAAATAAAACGTACATTGGATTCCTGAAATATATCTAATTGCCCTTTCCTTATAATGAGAATTAAATACAAATTTTGGATTCTTAAAAAGAAAGTGAAAGAAATTAGCATCATTGTCAAGATCAGAAGCACTTTTATGTATTTGGACTTTCGTTGGAAAATGTTTTTCAGAATCAAAAGCACTCGGAATTTAAATGGAAATTTTGATATTTTTTATACAGAA